TTGTCTGGCTGGGATCATATAATGCCATACCCTCCCTTTGGCCTGGTGACTCCTTTTTGAACTGGATGGCCAGTTATTATTTTAGACAACCTGGGGCTTGGAGCCTCTACGGTCCCCATTTGGCCTTTTGGGTTTATGGTGGGGGACCGGGTGTGGGTCAGTCATCCACGGATGTGCTTGATTGTAAGTCGTCCCCTACTCCCAGACGATGGAGACCAATCACAGCATGATTTCTCCTTAATTGGGGAGGGGCTCTTGTTCAAGGCACAGTGGCAAAAGATTGGCTTAGCTAGCCGCCGCTGAGAGGCAGTGCAAGTATGCAGATTACAATCCCTATACCCATCGCACTCCTGACCACTGTTCCATCAAGATAAGGTGGGTGCAACAGTAGTCGACGGATGGCCACCGTCTCGGATGGCCACCGTCTCGGATATGTAAGAATATGGGCATCGGTACTCCAATGGCAAATAGAATACGTCTGTTTATTGATGTACATGCAAAAAAAAGCATAACAAAATGCAACGTTTCGGGGTCTTGCAGGATCCCCTTCATCAGGCAGAATGAGTGATAAATGTAAGTGAAACATAAATGGATATATATACACCTTACCATGTGAACAGACCTATTCCAGAGCCCACTGTGACGTCGCAATTCCACCATAATTCAAATCAGAGTTGTAAAGAACATGAGACATCAACCAAATTACAATGGTAACTGTACAGGTATTATACATGGCTATAGACAGGATTATTCAGTACCTTCGAGATATGTAATGAGAGCCAAGTAGCAATCCACACGATAGGTAATGGCAATGAAAAAAACACCTCTCTGTCCTGAGATGTGTTACATATGCTATTATGCAGGCACACACAGGAGTTGTTCTAGCCAGTCTCTGGGGGCACTAATGCAATTCCTGTGCGCTGTACTTTTTAAAAACAAGTCAGCCGTAAGAAGACAAAAGAATTATGCCATGTCTATTTTGGGAAATGACAGCAGCCATTCCATGTGTAGTTTGGGAGCAGGCACACTCAAAATGGAATAGTCAAGAGGGCCTGGACAGACCTCTCCATATAATAAACTCAGAAAGATTCTCTGGTTTGGTGGACTGAGGAGGGACATCTGACTCCAGGCCCACCTCGAGATACCCAGTACAAGTAAGCATCGCTTTGGATACCAGCTCTCTGAGACTGGGGGGTGGGGGTATTTGCATGGGGGGGAAGACTATTCTCAGGGCAAATGGAAGCCTCTCTGGTCCCAGCCCTCAAGGGGGCTTCAGATGGTGGGGGAAGCCCTCCTTCCTTTTATAACCAATATCAGGAGGAAATGTGTGGATTCTCCAGGATGACATTACAGCTGTCGCATCCCTTACCCATCAAGGAGGAACCAAATCAGAGTTTCTGTGTAGGACCTAAAATCCCAGACTACAGTATCCATCAAGGGCCCATGAAAACTTTTTTTTTTTTTTTTTTTCTCTGAACTTCACTAGGACTGGATGCAATGGTTCACAAGTGGAAATTGACTGACTTATGCAGACTGACTTATGCATTTCATTCAACAGCTCTCCTGGGCAAAATAGTACAGAAGATCGGCCTGCTGAATTAGTTATCCTAATAGCCACGGAGTGCATGGCTCTCGGCTCTTCAGCTCATGTTCCGATGACGCCTCCAGCCGGACCTTCTGTCCCATAGACAAATCCTACATCCACACATCAGGGACTACATTTGGTGGCCTGAAGAGATCCTGAATAGAAAATTTTCATCGGAAAAGGAATCGTACAAAGTAATCTCCACCCTCCTGCAATTTAGAAAGCTGGTCAACAGAGTAGTTGACTGGAAGATTTGGAATAAATATTTCACTTGGGCTGTGAACTATATATTCAACCTAGCAGATTCTGCTGCCCCTAGACTTCAGAAGCAGAACAGATAATGGTCTTGCCATAAACACCCTTTAAACTACAAGTAGCAGTGCTATCCATATACCATGACAAAACCCTTGATAGGCACTCTAATCAGAAGATCCCTCAAAGCAGTTCTCAAATTCTAGCCTCCTTGGAGTTTGTGGTTCCCCATTTGGTTCAACTACTTTGTCCAAAATTCTCTTCAAACCATTGTAAGAGGTATCCCTAAAACACCCATTAATTAAACTGTCTTTTCTAGTGGCCATCCTGTTGGTGCAAATTGCAGGCTTTTTCAGTGAAAGAACCTTTAATTACCCTGCTTCATGATGGTAATCTTTAAAACTGATCCCACTTTCCTCTATAAAGTCCTTACATTCCACCGAACCCAGAAGGGCAGTCTTACTGTAATTCTTGCCTGAATACCGTGAACCAGAAAAGAGTGGAGTTTTCCTCAATGGCTGGTCACAGATATAATCTCAAATACATCGAGCATACCAGAGATTTTACAAAATCCAATGCGCTCTTCATTCCATTCAATGGTCCCAGCAAATAAAAAATGGCACCCAGAGCTTCCATAGTCTGATGGATTTGCATAGCAATCGCTGTGCCCTGTGTTTCGTCAGGCACGCCTTGTCCCTTGAGGTTTACAGCACACTTCACTAGTGCATTGTTGATGTCCTGGGCTAAAAGGGCTGATGCCTCAGCTAAGCAGATCTGCAGAGCAAGCCACATGGTCGAGCACAGCACCTTCGTGAAGCACTATTATATTATCATTTTTGGTTAAGATCAAGCCTCTGGAAGGAAGGTACTTCGAGCAGTGGTCCCACCGTAGGTAACATTTTGATCTCCATTTAACTGTCCTGGAGGAAGATTCAAGAAAACTCGAGTTATTTCCTCTTAACTCCTTTTCCAGGAATCCTTCAGGACTTTGGAGATCTTACTTTGAGTTTTTTTCTTTGGTAATTTCTATATTTTTTTAGTACTTTGGTAAAACGTGCCGTTATCTTGCTGCTTCTTAGGTCGTTGCCTCATTGGAGCCCTTGTAAACTCTATAGTCTTGTGTTTCCTGCAGGTGGGTGGAGCCATCTCCCTCCAGTCAAGCATCCTGGAGGAAACCTGGAAAAGGAGTTATCAGGTAACTATTCACGTTTTTATAGCTAGATTCTCCCTTTAATGGTTTAGACCTAGGGAATGAAGTAAATTTAAAATTCTCACTCTTCATTTTGCAGCAAGAAGACATAAATGCAATAGAAATGGAGGAGGATAAGAGAGACCTGATATCTCGTGAGATCAGTAAATTCAGAGATACACACAAGGTAATTTTTCACTTTTATTTTGCCATTCAAAAGAACATGTGCTTTTTGCAGATTGAAGAACCACATAGTTGTAACACAAGCATCATCCCTATATGAGAAGATGAATGCAGGCATTAAGGTTCAGCGGTATATGTATATAATTTTCTTATTGTTCAGCATGAACAAATGTATTTCATGGTAGTTGGTTATCAGCTAAATATGCTGTGCCACAAGAAATCTAAGCAGCCTTCACACACTTGTGTTCCAAATTGAAACATACAACATCTAAACACTTGATTAAATTAATCTCACTACCATACATTGTCATATCTGTAACACCATCACACTTCACTGTTTGGAAAAGCTGATTAAATTCAAAGCTTTTTACACGCTTTTTAGTAATAAAAATAGTTGAGTGGTTTCCACATGTGCCACAGTTAAGATGCATGGAAGAATTGTAAATTCCCTTTAAAGCTAATCTATTCATTGACCCCCACCATTATGATAGAGATCATATGGTGACTAATGCAAGATGAAACACACAGCTTGGAAAGTAACATGGAATATGAATGTAAGTATGAGCTCCTGTTTTTATACTATATATTCCGGATACCCCCTCTGAAAAAATGTGCAAAGTGGCAACTGGCTTTGCTAGTGTTTACTATATCATATACACAGCAGGCTCCCATTAGTCTTACCTGTTCAGTGTAAGATTATCTGTCCGTCCATTTTAACATGAGTTCATTAACTGATTGCTGTAGCTTTATTTATGTCCTCGTTGGCAAAGAGGATTTTGTGACATTTTGGTGACGGTAATATTTGTACCTGTTCTCGGCTGAAAGCTGCTCTGTAAGTATGGCATCTTTCTATAGGCTCGGCTCAGTGTTCAGTTTAGTTTCACTAAAATGTTTAGGTCATGTAAGTTTTGTTTATCTGTTTGTAAATTCAAAGGGCATTTTGCAACATTTGGGGTACAGGTTGTTCAGTGTAAATGCTCTGTCGTGATGTATCACAGAGCCAAATCCCAGAGCACAGTGAACCTTTGCATGTTTGTGTTAGGGCTGTATAGAATAACACTGTAGCCTCCTTATGGCTGTCAGGGTATCAGTAATGTAGGGGGTGTCCATTTACAGCACTGATGAATCTGAAGATAATAAGGTAAGAGTCTTTTTATTATGTCTTCTACCTCTCTGGTTTTACTTTTTTCTTTTTTCCCAATGTCCCTTTAACAAAGTGCAAGAAATACTCAATTCGGCCATTGTAGCGTATATAAAGAATTATTAAATTCTTTTTATAATTGCCATATTGCTTTTTGTCTGACTGGCAGAAGGTCTGATTTTAATTGCAAAATACCTTACAATCACCCTATAGTTCCTAGATTGTAAAATTCCTTCTGTTTAATATTTGTGGATCATCCCATGAAACCTGGAGCATGTAATGTAAGTATTGATTATGCTGGTTCAGTTAACTCTTCAATTGTAATTTCTGGAAGAGGTAAGTTTTTATAAAGATGAAAACAAAGCCCCAAATGACAATAATTTAATTAGACATAGAATATAAATTTGATTATGCATTGTGTAAAGCACTTTGTATTTTTAACGCTCATTCTCCCTTCCTATCCTTTGCCATTCATGCCTGTCATGTTTCCCTTTGCTAACCACTAAAACACACTATGCTAATCCCCTTCTATTGTGGCCCTATGCATTTGCTTGTGAAAGCTTTTTCCTCTCTGTACCTTCCCACCTGTACACAATTTTCTCCTGGACTCCGAATACAGCTGGTTATGAAGGTAAGATGTTTTTCAAGTTTTATTTTAATGCTTTATTCTATTTAAAAAGAACGTGTTGCCATGCCTGTATTGCAGTAGTTAAACATTTAATTTCAGTGATGTTTAAAAACATGCCATTGGAGGGATTAAAGTATTACTTCTTAGGAAATGCCATGAAGTGTAAAGTATTTGTGCCCTAGAATGGTCTTGTCTGTCTTTGAAAATGTACTTGCTCTTCCTCCCAGAATCATAGCTTGTAGGCAAAGTTAATCCCGTGTTGGAGAGCCATGTCCTAGCTCATCATCTGTAAGTTAATTCAAACAATTGCTAACAAGGATGAATATATGATCTTTGGATGTCTTGTTCCCAATGTGTTCAAGGTACTCTGGGCGTAGACACTTTTTTGTTTTTTCTTTTTTCCACATTAAACTGATATTTTTGGCCATTGCTATGGAACGAATGGATTACCCCTGTAGATTCCATGTTGCAATCGATTTCCAACCTTCCTGACTGTATCTAAGTTTAGCATCACCTCTGTGAAGAGCTTTGCCAACGTTTGTAAGTGCTGAAATTCTTAGTCTTGCTGTAGGTAAATGTTGCCAGTGCATACAATCGGTGTCCAACAATTTTTTTTGTTTTATTTTTCCTTGTAGAACTTGACCCCACACTGTGTACTTAGTTGGTACACACTTTTTTTTTTCTTCTTTTAATAATGCTCTAAAGCAGCATTTCATATTTGTTTTCCCTCCTTTCAATGTAGTTATTTTATATAGCCTTCCTTAACACAGTAATAAAGTTGTTGAAGTGAAAGCAGATGGCCAAAGTACCACAATCACCAGCATGATATAACGATGACCATATGGCTAGGTCATATTGAGCACCAGTGTCTCTGAACATTGCTCATTCCCTGCTATTCTTATTTTAGAGGAATAAAGATGGAAGGGTTGTTATGGAATCCTGCCATAGGATGCACTAATTTGAGGTGGCAGGTTGGGTTAATTACACTTGTTGGGTAGCACATCAAAAGGATTAGTGGTGGACGAAGCAGCTTTAACTTTCCATGGCATCCTCCACACTGACAAATAAGACACGGTGTAGGTTGGAGCAAACACGTTGGCATCAGAGTAAATGCAGCTTGTCTTGCAGGCAAGCTCTATTAAGATGAAATTATTTTACTAGAATCCATTCTATTTGTTACTGTACTAGTTTTGTTTTTTGGTTTAATGAGGATAATAGAAAACTGACAAATACGTGCTTTAATACTGGGTATTTTCATCCATACTGTGCCTATATGTTTGCACATCAATTCAGTTCTGGGGGGGGTTCTCTCAAATATGAAGTGCTGCTTTAATTTGAGCCTAAGTCTCCCTTACAGAAATCATGGTTGGAGATTGCTGTTCCTCGTAGCTATTTACTTCTTGCACGGAATCTAGTCTTGTGCCTTTATTCTTTTTGCTACACATTTTGATTGTCCTTTTTTTTTTTTTTTTTTTTTTTTTTTTTTTTTACCCCTTTTTTCCAGTCTTTTTCCATTAATT